ACATGAGAAACAGATTGACTGGTTCTCATCTTTCAATGTTAATTTTTCTGTCATCCATAGATGAATCTCAATGGAAATGTTAGTGATTAAATAAACATTCTTCTTAGTCTATGATTTTTTTTTGTATTTCGGCGGAACATTTATTTTCTTACAAAGCCTGGAATTTTTCTTCGATTAATCGATATCATAAGTGTAATTAATCGATTAATTGTAATCGACACTGTAGAAATAATCGATTATCGAATAATCGATTACTTTGCTATCGATTATCATCCCTAGAACATTGTTCAAATGGCTTTTTTTATTTATAAATGGCTTCGCACGGTTTGTGCCTTTAGCCAATGTCAAGTGTTGAAATGTTTACAAATACTATGTGGTACTAAGCACGCGTGGTCAAAGTAATAAATCCAGTGAAAGTAAATGGCAGTCAAGTCAATCCCCCTTTCCCTATGTTTCAGTAAAAGTGTGGGGATTTACTGGAACCTCCCCGTGGACTTCTTGAGGGAACGTCGAAAGACACTTTCCGCTATTTTGTTTCACCTGCCAACACTTGTGCATGTTCCCGAACACTTAGTGGTTAATAATCCACCTTTATTAGACACTAACATCCGCCACAACACCAGTTTTAAAACAAGGATAACAAAACCGTTAAAGTGACGCTTCCCGATCCCGCCAAAAAGTCCCTTCTTCTTTTTTATGGCATGCACGGTTTATGCGTTAAATGACTTATTCCTCTTGTAGTAGGTTTTTTTTTACTAATAAATAAATAAATAATTCCAACACTAAAACAAATAAGCCTAGCCCCAAAGTAAGCACTGTAAGGCTTGTGTTATGGGATGCTAGGGTAACGGATAGAATACATATACTGTACATATATAAGTATATTTATATAGAAATACATATTAAACATCCATGACTGGAGTACAAATGCTCGTATTCATCACACAAACATTTGCCCCCACCGGGATTCGAACCCGGGACCTCTCGAGTCGGTGACACCATGAAACCCGGCGTACAAACCACTCGGCCACGGAGGTCGTCAACATAATATAAGGCAAGGTTTCATATCATACGCGACTACTGTAAGGCTGGCTCGTTTTTTTGATGTGTAACATCTTTCCTCTTGTGGGAGTGATTTCGTGAAATGGGACGGAAGTAGGTTTACCAGATTGATAAATCAAAATTTCTGGATGGACATTAATCAGTATCATATTTTTTTTTACTATTACAAAACAGAGGAACTTTAAACAAACAAAATTAATATGAAATCACTTTTTCTGCCACATATATTTAGCATTTCCTTTAGCCGCATTTATCATTTTAGAACCTTTATCTGTGTTTTTAGAAAAGATTTAAATTTAGTACAAGTTTCGTCAAAGTTCAATCGAATTATTGAATTCAATCCCGGGCATAGATAGCAAGAGGCCGCAGCGGAGCCAGTATTGCCAACTCGGTGGAAAAACCACTAATATTGGTGGTTTTTAATTTTCAGCTTCATTTTAGCTGGACATTTTGCCTAAAACCGGGACACTGGACAACGTGTGAAATAGCTGGACAATCCAGCCAAGTCCAGTCAATCTGGCAACCGTAGACGGAAGTGTGTAACAGGAAGTCGGGAAAGCGCGCGTTATTTGATTTGATTTTAGAACATAATGTTCAAATGGCTTATTCTTTTTGTAGTAGGTTTAATTTCTTTTTTTACTACTATAAGGTGAGGTTTCAAATGTTACAGAACTATACGCTTCAACGCAGCGTATTGTTGTCCTTTTCTTGCTTACAAAATGGCGATTACGTAAAACATATTCACGACAAACCGTGATTTTTGAGAAAATGTTTTCACAGTTTTACGAATGAAAAGTGTTGCCGGGGCGTTTGATTTTGAACTATTTGTGTTCTTTATAACAGCATCGAAGGCATTGTGATATCTTTATAACACAGAATCACCAGAATATACGCAATATTGTTATATTGAGTGTACACGCAGCGTGTTTGAATGTCAAATTGTGACTAAAGCGTATTATGGTCGTGGACTACAATTTGAGCGGACCACTTTTGAGCCGCGAAACTTTTGGCGTATCTTCATCAATTTTAAGGGCCCAATCGAAAGAGTGGACGTGAGCCTTAACTAGGGTAAGCAATTATTACACCACGCCGATCGCCCTACATCGGGTCCCCTACTCCCTAACTCACATTACATCACCCTTAGTCAGGGTAAGGGTCCCTTAAAATTGGATAGTGTAAATCCCGCTTATGAACTTGTAGTGGTTTTTTCCCGCACCCGCAGAGCTGTCTTATTTCATAACCTGCTGCGGCTGCGAGCGGGTGAAACCCGCTGCGTCTGCGGGTGATTGCGTCCCTCAGCGGGTATCGCTAACACCTGCATGCTCTGCGGGCGCAAATCGCAACGGGAATTTTGTTTTTGTGTCACATTCTATGCATGTTGCGGTACCGCAGCCGCAGCTTTTTCAGATAAAAATAGATTTGATTTTTTATACCTGTATTTATTAATGTATCGATTCATCAGGTTATGACTCGATAGAGTACGGCCACGGTGCACGCAGGTTCAGAATCAGAAAGCAAGCGCGAGAAACAAACAGTGTAGTTTAAGCAGGGTGGCCATAGTGGCAGCAGGCAACCTGCTTAAACTACACTGTTTATTTCTCGCGCTTCTGAATCTGCGTGCACTGTGGCCGTACCCTTAGTGCCTTTTCACATGTACACGGACACGACACGGTTGCCGTGCCGTGTAAAATAGTAATGTATGAGCAACAATGAGAGCTTTCACATTGCACGGCGACCGTGCCGAGACCGCGTGTCAGCCGTCCTTATCCACTATAAGTACGGTTTTGACGCGGCAACCGTCTTTATAGTATTGTATGGACTTGTATAGACGCGTTCACATGAACACGGGTGCGGTACGGTACGGCGAGCGCAAATACTATTCGTCAGCTAAAGTCATAGGGGAACGGACGGACGATTGTTACAGAATGTCTGTCGAAATCGATGTTGATGTGTTGATTTCGCTAGATGAAGCGCGTCCTACTTTATGGGATAAAACCATCGCGTCTTATAAAAACAGGAACGAGACAAAAGAACCGTGGAAAGAAGTATGTTTAGGATTAAATAGTAGTTTCGAAGAATTAGATGATAATGAAAAGAATCTTTTTTTGTTTCATGATAAAAGACGTCATCGTTCCCCAAAATTCTCGATAATATTGCAACATCCATAGCCGGCGACCGTGTGTAAGCCGTATACATGTGAAAGAGCTAGCACGTGCCGTGTCCGTGTAGGGGAGAGTGGGTAACAGTGGATCACGGGTCACAGCGGATTATTCGCTATAATTCTTACGTCTGATGCTTTACGCACACAAGCAAACCCGTGGCTACTGCTTGTCGATACCCCCCTCTCACGCGCTTGTCGCCGCCGCGCTCGCCGAGCGGAATCACGTGCTGTCACACGCAGACCAATAGGTAAGTACGAAAGTATTTTTTTACGTAATTTAAAAATTTGTCGTATTCCCAACCCTTTAATAAATATAAATGACTAGCAAACCCAGCGAACTCCGTTTCGCCACCAGATAGCTTCGTTTTATGTAACATTTCGTTTTGTGATTAAATGAAAACGATTTTTTTTTTTAATTTTTCCTGAATTTTCTTTGCTATAAACCTCACGGAGCCCGAGACCTTTCCAACGAATGCAAAACCGTGGAAATCGGTTCGTGCGTTCTGGAGTTATAGCGTCAGGAAGGAATACCCGACTTATTTTTATATAGTAGATAGTCGTATGTTTTGAACCTGTTATTTGATAAATTCGTTGTGGGTAATGTAATTTTGGCTTGGGTATAAGTAGTTATTTTTTGAATATTTTTTTTGTGTCGTACCGGCCTATGGGTCACAGTGAATAATTTTCATTTGGGTCACAGCGGACTGTAGCTGCACGGTAGCGCTGCATGATATTAAGATGATTTTACCAAAACCTACGTTTTCTGGGACTACAAAGAGGAAGCAAGGCATGCACAACTTTAACGTTGATCTTTCTAACATTAATTTACGCTAATCTAATTTAATTTGACCTCAAACCGAATCTCAGACAATTTTGAGATATCAGAAAATGAAAATATTTGTTTTTATAGTTTATTTTTTGTTAACGATTACTGAAAAAGTAATAATTTTTATTTTTAATAGTTGATATATCAACAATGTTCCTTTTATTAAAATGTTTGTTAATGATTACTGAAGAAGTAAATATGTTTATTTGAATAGAGAAGAGAACTTTGTGGAAATGAAAGGAGAATAACTGTTGTTTATTTAAACAAAATGTTGATTAGTTTAGGTCTCTTTATACCAGCATAATTTGAAAGACTTGTTAATTTTTGATAAGACTGTGATAGAAGGCTGTCTTAGAATATAAATAAATAAATAATTATGAAGAAAATTGGTATTCTATTGAACTTTTTTTTAAAAGATCCAGTGTACCCCAAGCGATTCCCTGTCACCCATGAAAAGATCCAAAGTGACCCATCCACGGGTCACAGTGGATCATTTCCCATTTTTTTAAAAACTTGTTATAACTTGTAAATTTATGCCGTTTTTACCAATAATTGCACCTGGTTTTGTAGATTAGGGACATATCTTGTAGTTAATTATCATAGATTAATTGTTTACGCATAAACTTGGGATTTGTGGAGCTTGAAAAAAAAGGTGATCCATTGTTACCCACTCTCCCCTACATGTGAAAAGGCACTTAGGTTTTTCAATCAGCCGGCCTATTTTCCAACTTTTTTTGACATTTACAGTGTGTAAATAATAAGAAAATTGCATATCCATCAATGGTATTCTTAATCTATCCAAGATCAGCAGTGGTACAGGTGCATCAACGTAGTTTCAGCTGCGTAAGCTACCACCCTCCGATTTGCATATAACTTGAACACCTACTGGTTAATACTTTGTCATTTTATAAGGTGTAAGCGTCGTTTATAGTTCTTCAAATAAAACAACGGTTCAGTTCTTAAAAATATTCTTAAATTATACTTACTTATTCAACACATTTCTTTTTTTATTTTTCTCATTTCAATGTTGTTTTATAATTTTGCCTTTCTTTTCTTGTTAATTTTTTTTTGAAATTAGAATTTGAAATTACACAAACAAATCAGTATTCACATTTATGAAATAATACATTTCAGTTTTTAAAATCACCTTATGCTGGTACCTATAGCCCAGGCTTTTAAGTTGTAGTAGGTAATGATTCCGTGTTCATTCATTACAGCAAACAAACATACCACCATTTATTAACATCAGCAAGTTTAGTAGTTTTGGGCATTAAAATTATTAAAGATAATAGTTCACAATTTAACTATTCATATTAATTATAATAGAATTTAGCATAGTGCTCAGCTCTCTCCATAAAGGATGATATATGGCCTATTTTCACATAAGTTTTTGTTAAAAAATATAATGTGTAAATGCCAACTACGTATAATGTATGTATAGTCACCACTCGGTGCAACAATAGACGGTCCCCCTTATTAAAAAATGAGAAATAAGACTATTTAAGCCACGTTTTGTTCATATTATAATGCCATATTCAAATGCCATTTGTAATTTGATGAACAAAGACAAAACATAGAGTAACTGGTCCAAGCTTATTCTTCGTTTATTAATTTATGGGGGTGTATGTAAACGGAAGAGTCAAAACACACTGATCGAATTGTGTCCGTACCAAACAGGACAATAAATTGGAAAGTCGTTCTCATCGCCGAACGTGGCGAACTGACCAGAAACGCATTTGGTCATACTACTATATGCATTAACAGTCTACAAAATACAGCATTTGCAGTTATTTAACTGCTTCGGCAAGAGAATTTCCATGGAATTCGAAAGGTAACAATAAAATGGTCATTAGATGTTCGTATGCTGTTTGTTATGAGTAGGCTGCCCATAGATGCCCAAGCACGAGTTTTTGTATGGAAAAATCTATTTGTTTCTTAGGTTTTCACGCTCATATCACTCATTTAATATAACAAATTTCAACTGTATAGATGCATTGATTTTATTTATTAATTGACGTTTCGCATCCTTTTCAGAATGCGTCGTCTGAATAAATATATTGAGCTCAATAAGTCTTTAGAAGGTAGCTCGACAAAGTAAATAAAATCATTATTTAGACGACGCATCCTGAAAAGGATGCGAAACGTCATCTATACATATAAATAAAATTGGAATGTCTGTTTGTAATATTGAAATAAACGCGCTTTACTACATGTATATGAATTTAAATACGGTACATAGACCCATTTAACATTTTTTCCAATTTTTTACTTTTTTTATTTTAGAAAAAACAAAATTGTTAACGCGGACGAAGTCGCGGGCTAGTAAATAAATAAAATCAGTGCATCTATAGCGTGGAAAAAGCTAGTTTGTTCTTATTTCCGATAGGGGCTCTGCTTAGATTTCATAGAAACTTGACGATGCGATACGTTACGAAGCTGTCAAAAATTCGTGCTTGAGCCTGTGACTCAATGGATCGTGTCCGTACGACTCCGTGAGCGGCCAATCGACATAATAATAACTAAATTTAACTTAAGTCACTCCTTTTCATTCTGTATAGAGAATGACAAGGATACAGTGTTGTCAAATTTAATTTTAGTGTTGAATCATGCTAGAATCGACGCCAATGTGTATATAATGTTACTTTTCCTCAGGCAATATTGCGAAAGGCCGATCAGTATGTCCCGACCCTTGGGAACTGTTTTCACAGTGAATATACATTCAATGTCAATACCGCTCTTATGATTACGTAAATAAGGCAAAGATTAACAACACGGTATTTTCTATCTACTTTTAAATTAAGTCTCGTATGACAACATGGAGATGAAGCTATGCTAGTTACATGATACTTCTAATATATATATTTGTACAGTTCACAGTACAGCACATCTACCGCTCTGTTACCACGTTTGTGTATTATAGGACCGGTACCTTATGGTGGCACTTCAAATCTGTATCCTTTTTGTCAAATAAGAGCTACAAATGAACTTACCACAAACATTTTTTTTTAGGTTGTGAAATATCTATATGAAGTGCCGCCATTAGGTAATAGTCGCCTGTGTCGATCTCGATCGTAAAACAAACGGCCAGTTTCAATAATCAAACTCCAGTTATAGATTGGCCTATTAGAGCTTTGTTGCCCCGATTTTTATTATTTAGATCATGGAGGTAGAGAGAAAAAGAACGATCGCTACGTACTAAAGCAATAGCCCGCCTGACCCTGAAAATTTGTAGAATTTATAGGTCAATTTTCAGCCACCAGCCGCGCTGTCGCCTGTAAGTAGTAATTGCGAAGTTAGCTGTTTATAAGTACAAGTAGATGAGGTTAGTTGAATATTTTACATATTTTCTTCGCGGCATTGGTCATTTCAAATTAGCCCGCTTTTATTGAGACAACTTAGCGATCGCAGCGCCTCACTTATTTTGTCCATACTTCTGGGACACTATTTTCTACTGCGATCGTTCTCTTCATCTCTAACCTCCATGATTTAGATTATAATAAAAACTCCTAACCTCTTACTGGAGGTTAAACAATAAAACAGACCGTAAGGTATCAGTAGTAGATTACTACTTTGAATTAACGTACTGTAGACCATCAACTGTAGTTAGATACTACTAACGAGCACAACAAAATAAATCATCGAATTTAAATGATCATTAATAATAATACTTATTCATTATTTAAAATACATTTCCAGGCAAAATGTTCCCTTACTGACGACACTTTTTTATTTTTAAATGACTCATGGGAAGCTTGTAGTAATATAATTTTTTGCTTTTCATAAATATATTTAACATCCCCTCGCAAGTACACGAACATAAAATGAATAAACCGGTTGAGAGATTTTCTCAAAAACCAATATAACTGTAGCATTCTACTTAAACCAGTCAAATCAACTGTGAACATGAACATGTTCGATTCAAGTACTACAATTTTGCACTACATAATGTAAGTGCATATTGTTATAGACGCTTAGATATGCAACTTATTGTGTAATTTTTATTTGTAAACGGATCATTTTTCGCTATTTCCTACTAATTGTAAGTATGCGGATGTTTCGTCAACATCATTACTGCATCACCACATGTTTCCCCAAAATTGATTGATACTTAATACTTCATTGTAATTTGTTTAGATATTAAAATTAAATAAAAAGAAAATCGCGCCAAGGTAATATTATACTGATTACTCAAAACCACTTCTGTTTCTATACACACTGAGAAGTGTGTTAAAATAATTAATAGATAATCATTAATTTTAATATTTGAATCATTTTAAATATTATTTTTATTATCTATCTTTACACTACAGTACAGTAATCATCGCGACAAGAGAAAGTGGTAAACACAGCTAGCTCGTCTAAAAACTGATTCACACTCGTCTATCTATTAATATTTAAAATTACCTAAATGTAACATCAACAATAGGTTTTTTAATCAATTATTCACAATCATTACATTTCAACATATTACCCAAATACTAGTGACAGCTGAATGGAAATATGTTCGAATTCAAATATAGGACAAGATGCCTAATAAAAATTAACTACCTTTGATTCAGCGCATGTCAAGAGTTCATTTAAATAATTGTAATAAAATAGTAGTGTTATGATTGTCGTGAATCGTGTTACGAGTTAACCTACCTACTTAACGTAAACGGAGGTGTACAAGGGGCTCGTAGTCGGCGGGCGCAGTCCGGGCCACTTACACAAGGCGGGCGCGGCCACCCTCTACCGCACTCAGTACGGACTGTAATAAGAGCCGCGCCTGAAACCTCTGCGAACAAGCCATCACGTTACTATAGCTCGATTCAACTTAGTGGCGGCTGTGAAGTTAGAGCAAGTCGCGGCACATTAAGGGGAACGCTGTGAAGTTAGCGCAGTAAACGAAATGTAGGATGAATTAGGTGCGCGCGGGAATGCACAATAAACAGAGAATGGACTGAACTACACTTCATGAAATTGGCAATCTTCTATAAAGAGAGAAAAAACAAACAAATACTAAATAAACAAACTACAGACCTCCCGTTCACTTCGTCTCTCTCACGCTTACTTTTGTTTGATAGGACGTAGAATAATAACAGTGCGTTTATAAATATCTCTGAATATCACTGAACTGACACCTGCGCATAGTTGCGCTCTCTGCTAACTTCACAACCATCATAAAGTACGAATCACACTATTCACCGACCCGAAGGCGCGTCATGTCCGACGTTTTAGGAAATTGCATTAAAAATACATATTTTCTGCATTACATACTTTATTTGATATATTTTGTCTTATAATGCTTTTATGTCAACATCAGTCGTGTCATACACACTTTCGGTTCGGATACGTTGAACAACACCAAAATATACTATCACTGAACTGCATTTCTATTTGATTTCCAGTAAATTCGTTCGTTATACCGAGCCGAAAATATATACAACAGGCCTTACACTTTTCTTTTATACCAATAAGTACATAAAATTATGTATATATAAATAGTAAAAAATGACAATAGCCATGCACTGTACTACATTACAACCTTGGTGTATCTAGTGAGTCATATCTACATCTATACAACAGAAAACTCTACATTAAAATAAAATATAGTACTTGATACACCTTAAGCACAAGATGACTGAGCGGACAATTTAGTAACATTGATGCAAGGAAAACGTAACAATCAAAAGTAATGATATCAAATATCATTCACAAACAAAAGAGATTTGGCAAATTTATATAATACGTACTAATAACAAGCTACGTTTATTTCACGGCATCATGCCACCTTACACCCAAGATACATTAAAGTATTACAATAAGCTAAATCGGCGTCAAAGTAGGCATGCTTAAACAAAATGCTAAATGTTAAAGAAGTAAAATGAGTAATGTTTATCTACTCTCACATAAATATATAGACTTTATTTAAGCACTATCCGTTTCTGTTGCAATAAAATGACTTTTCATAATGCAAAAGGAGATTCCATGTCATCTATAGGACTGGATAGGACAACGGAAAATCACTGAGGTACAAGTGCAATAGAAATTCAGCACTGAAAGCTTTGTAATACAATTAACAAATAATAATCATTTTTTTATTGTTGAATCAGACATAACATATTGTAAAAAGATCTGTTAAGAAAATTGTAGTAATACTTTTTATGCAAGTTATATCTAGGTATCCCCAAAAATAATAATTCAGTATTGCTAGAAAATAGAGAAGAAATAGTGCTAATAAATCCATATTCTGTGTTAATCAACTGATTGTTTCTCACTAAGATAATGCATTATGCACTATTGTGTTGTTTATAAAATATAGTTATATGCATGATGCAGTGCAGTCCCTGGAGTAACATAGGAAATTTGCTTCTACATCATTCAGTGTTGCGTTACATAAAATTTTGATAAGATATGCATACAGCTCAAAATTACAATATATAACATAATCCAAAGAGAAGCAAAAATAAGACATTCATATAGAAAAAGTGCTCAATGTCTCTTATCATAGTTAAATAAACCTATTGTAAAATTAAATAAACGATGGAACTGCTCTTAAAAACTCATTGCACTAATGAGTAAACATTAATGTCCTACCATTAAGTATAATTTCATCAGAATCTGTTTGTTTTTAATTAAATAATTTAGTGTTAAATTGCATATCCTAGAAAAGCTTCATTTATTTTATTATCATCAATAATGTAATTAATTTTGAGATACTACACAGAAAATCATATAAATATATATGCATATATCTTTTAAAATTCTTTCACAAGTGATGATGGATGATATTATAATGTTTATAAATACACTTGAAACTAATCATCATTTGTCATGTAATTGTGTTTGTAGTTAAATGCCAATATTTTTGTATGACCTAACTCAGGAACGTTACGTTTTTTATGTTTAACATAATAACAAACAGATAAAACATCATTATTAAATTATAGTAATATACGTTCTTTCCGGGATTGTTATCATGTACCTTGTTTTTAGCGAGTTTCCGATATTAATCGCTAAAAACAAGGTAATAATGTTAGTGATGAAAGTTTAAAACAATATATCATTATTAAAATTGACAATTTTCTATACTTGTTTCCTTGAATGTTGGGAGAACCAGCCTATTCAAAATAATTTGGTCTAATATTATTTCGAAATTAATTCTTACAGTGTTTTATATCCCTGTAGCGGATTGAAGTTTTTTTATGTTAGGTACCTTCACCCTTTTATAATAGCTTGGAAATGCTGTCAAAGATTAATTTAATTTATATTGAGGATTTCAATTGGTATTTTGTACAAATACTACTTTTATAAGGTACTAGAATTACATTTATCGCGAAAAGTGAGCTTATAGTAAAATACGGTCCCTAACTAAAAATACGGTATGAGCAATGAAAAAACGAAAATTTTTATCAATCTAAAAAACATTCACCAAACAGATATACATCATAACACTCTAATGGAGCAGGTCGATCGTTTGTAGGCCTTCAATAGCCTGAATTCTAAGGTAGCATCACAGTAGAATAAAAGCAAATTTAAAAAAAAAATTACAAAGCATTATCACCTCATTCAAAAACTAAAATGTATATATAGCCTAGTAACACAAAGCACCTCCACTAGTCAAGCTTGTGCAGCAATATTACATAATATTCATTACAAGTGACACACCCCCAAACATTCGACCAACGACGACGATACATGGTTTCACCAAATTTGTCACCCGACCAACCATTATAAGTTTGTATCAAAACGCGGCTTACCCTCCCCGGACTACACCAACTTAGGCGATATCGATTTCTAACAAAAAATAGACTGTAGTGGGGGTGTTCTGTGCCTTATAAAGTGGAATATATAGAGGAAGGGCTTCTGTACTTTCCTTTGGACATACTCAGCTCTATATGTAGAGGTAAATAGTAAGGCCCACTTGCACTAAATTTGCTAATACTCGATTTTATTCAAATAATCTAGTTTCTAGACCATATAAGAATGTCAAATTGACATTGCCGTTTTGTCCTTTTTGAATGGGATATATAAAATTTTTGTGAATCGCATGGGTGCCTGGTATGATAAATGTCTGTTGTTACAGATATTCAACGTGTCTGCAGCCGACGCACAACGGCAACAAAACGGTTCAGTGGCAGCTAATACCTTGCCTCCTTTAACATAGATATTGGCAGAATCGTCTCATAATGACTGGCAGCCATAATCACCAAAAATCGAATTGAATGGATTAAACAATTTGGCATCACGAAGAAACTTGGCTTCCACACAGTAAAAAGAAGAGTAACGACATAACCATGCCTTACTAACTAAACCCTGACTTTGGGAGAATCGTCATATAACGATGGAGCCATAATTTCTAAAGTGGAAGTGGAATTTAGTTTAATCGATTTTGAGCAAACTTGGTGCGAGTGGCCCTAAACGTACTTTGTAAAAGTTTTGGAAATCTGTTTCGTTTCTAGTGTGTATGTGTATGGTGTATTGAGCCTAATAAGGATTGTACCTGCCACGGCGCACGGGCCGGTAGCTGGAGTAGTAGGGCGAGAAGCCGCGGAAGGAGCGGCCGCGCCCGCGGACTCCGCGCGGCGGCCGGTTCGTTGATGACAGACCTGGCTTGTTTGTACGCTTCGGCATCACCTGGGGCAACATTACATGATCGTAATTATGTATTACTTCGTACGCGTGGAGTTAGTTAGAAATAAAGGTTTACTGCTTGTTCCCTGTAGGTGATAGGGCTAATAATATTTAGCCTATATGTTGACCTGACTTCTTAATAATATTCGTGCCAAATTTGAAGTAAATCTATGCAGTTCTTTTTGAGTTTATCCCGGACATACATACAGACAAACAGACTGAATCCTAAAAACTATATTTTTGGCTTCGGTATCAATTGTAGATCACACCCCAATAAATATTTTAAAAGAATATTAAAAAAATATTCAATGTACATTTTTGACTTTAATTTGTGAGTATGTGACGTTGTAAGGGGTAATCTCTGGACTAAAATTACTAAACTACTTAATCAATCTTTAAATTATTTTACTAAGGCTAGTTATTTAACTGCAAATCAAATAATTATCATATTGTGTAAAAATTAATTCCCAATCCTAACCAAAAATACTTATTGCATAGCAAAATAGTCACCTCAAAATATTGTTACATTAGTAACAATTTAAGCTTGTGATGCATCGCTATTAATTTAAAACTAAAGCTTTTTTAAGAATAATAGCCACCTCACAACAAATACATTACATTTTTTTTTAAAAAAAGTTGCGATATTTTTATCTCATACAGCAGTTTATTTTATTTAATTGAAATAGGAATCTAATTATTGATGTACTTTAGGCACGCTTGATTTGGGGGGTAAACCGGCGAATGTGTTAAGATTTTAGGTTACGAATAGTGTCATTGGTGACTCATCAGTAAACAATGAACAATACTCGTCACAAAATACATGAATCAAGTGCTTGGTGGGTGATATCGGACCCAGCGAGGATTATTGGGTGATAACAGACCCAGCGAGGATTATTGGGTGATAACAGACCCATCGCAGATTGGTGGATGATAATGGACCCAGTGTGGATTGGAGGGTGATAATGGACCCAGTGCAGATTTGCGGTTTTTTTTCTATCAACAAATCATCAGGTTAAGTTTATGATTTTCGGAACATTAGAGCTAAAGAAGTTTCACTTTAGTTGTGTGTCATATGCACACTCGCTTTATTTTTATAACCATCAAAAGTGTCCAAATGTTGAGCAAGTTTTGAAATGCTTAATGGGAAACCTGTTGCAAAAATAGTTGTTGTTGTTATGAGTGTGAGTATTTTGCGTTGCAGCCTGGTTAATTTTCTATGCAATTGGAATATATTTGCTGTGCAATCAGTATATTTGGTTTGAAATCATATTTCTGTACAATTAAACAAGTTTTTTGTTACTACAGATTAGATGTATATTTTTGAATTATTTTCAGCACTAGTTTTGTTCAACAAATATTTTGTTTGCAGTAAAATAATTATTTTGCTGTAAAAAGTATTTGATTGCTTTAAATAACTTGATGGGTAATAAGTTATTTGCTGTGCATTTAAAAATATCCCTTTTACTAATAGAAAGCCACTTTATTTGTGAGTGTCATAGGCTATATTTAAGAACAAAATCTGTCTACTAGTCAAATTAATATCATCAATATTCACAAAAAGAAAAAAGTAATAGTCAATTTCAATCATAACATACTTCTTTTAAACAAGTTTACATGTTATATGTTATGATTTAAGATTTACAATACATATAACAAAGCAGAAAACGCTGACAAAACACTACCTATTAGATAAATTCTTTAAGTGTTAATATTACTTTATACATATTAGGGCTAAACTGTACTTCCAGGGCTCAAGTGGTGATCCTTCACACTAGGTAAGGTTAGGTTATGTTGTCACTATAAGCGATTGTGCCCGATAAAGTGCCAGAAAAAGAAATTTAAGAGACCTTTTCTACAAAAAACTTTAAGTATCACCTCTTGGGCTTGGGAAACATAGTTTCACCCATATTTGATTATGCTCTTACTAAAAAAATTAAGTAATTTACCTTAATCTGACGTCCTCGAAATAATGATTCATCCATAGCCATGGCTGTTTGTACACTATCTTTATCACCAAACTCAATATAAGCAAATCCTTTGGGGTGGCCATCAAATTTGTTACACAATATTGTCACCCTGAAATAGCAAAACTGTAACTAGAAGATAACATCCATATTGACCATAAGTTAATAAGTAAAAAATGATTAGGATATAATGTACTTCTAATTTTAATTAAATCCATACAAGTTTTGATAAATGCAAAAGAACTTGCTGAAATAATTTCGAAGAAAATTTCAGGTATGTAGGTAAAAGGTACCTCAAAAAAAGGTCATTAGGCTGCAAGGGATGAGATATATTGAGCAATGTATAGCAGGAAGCACCCAGCAGGTATTTTTGGGATCCAAGAGAATACAACATAAACATGTGTTCATAGAATAAATTTACATTGCTCCAAAAATGCTCGCTGGCTGCTCACAACTCTCACAAATTAATATAAAAGATTAAATTGATTATTCTACAGTGTTCCGTAGTATAATATAAAATTGTTACCTATTTATTGAACCACAGCCATGAAAATGCTGTTCAAGTTCCTCAGCAGTTGCTCCATAGTCAACATTTCCCACATAAACAGACCTGTTGTCTGCTTCTATTTTCTCTTCAATGGACATGTTCAGTGGACTAGCTATTGGGAGATTAAAGATTTAATAAGTAGCAGAACATTGTTCCTCCATATATTTATTGTTTATAATGCTGTTATTTAAATATCAGTCACCCTTCTTTGCTGGATGGGGAATGAAAGGAAAACATAGATGGCAGCAGAAGCTAGCTTTTCAGTGCAGGTAGTTTTGTCCAGGACATATTCAAAGCCATTCATTTTCAAAACATGTCTAAAGTGATTTTATTAATGTGTAGCTATGATGTTTTATGAACTTATTACTTTTAAGTGGGTTTTGATGTTGAGATAAGAGAAGCAGCTACTCACTAAGTCCTGGTGGGCTTCCCATGTTCATTTGTTTATCAACTTCTGTCTGCATTTGTTTTAGTTTCTCGGCTTCTTCTTCCATCTCACGAACTCTAGCCTTGATGGCAGCCAGATCAGGTACATCACTACCAGCTGCCTCATCGCCACCCTACAAATTTATGATCAGTCAGAAAATATTTTTCTAAAGAGTTAAACTATTATTAATATGACATGTGGCATGACTTAAAACTAAAATTGAATTTGACACCAGTTTTGCTTTTTCATTTAATATAGTAACATTAAATGCTAGTAATGTACAATAAAATGTAGTATATCAATCAATATACTATATTTAAAAACTGTTTTGTTTTGGAGCATAGCCAAATGTTTATAAGAAGCACATTCTCCAAATATTGATCAACTAAATTGTAAAATTTATTTAACTAAAATGTTAACAACATTAACAACCAATCTAATGATTGGTAATAACTTGCCTAACTAACTTTGACTGCTGCAAATCATTCAAATTTGCAGCAGTCAAAGTTAGTTCAATAAAAACAGTTTTCTTTCTTCTTTCTTTCAGTAAAGTTAGTTAGGCAAAAATAAATAGCCATGTGTGGTGCCAGTATACCAAAAAAATAATACTTTTATTCATTGATTCTGTTGTAAAACTAAGATAAACAAACTAAAAACTTTAATACTTGTATTGTAATCAAGTTCCGACACAAGGAACATAACTTGAAAAATTAATTAACTACATATCAAAAGAATAACCTTTTCAATGGATTAGAATAGGTATATATTTTATTTTTTAAATCACATTAAATTAAGCTTTATTCAGGTTCAGTTGGTTTGACATTTGCTTGAATATTTTAACATCATTAAAAGAAAACTGTGATACCTATTTGAATGAGTTTTAGGGACACTAAAATGACCATAAACTATATTCATTTAAAGTAAACATACGTACTTGAATACTCTTTTACTCGATAAGCAATTATAATACAATATGATGATTACCAATAATAATTACAAATGTTAAAAAGTCATGGTATTTTAGTAAAAATTAAATAATCTCACCCCGAGGCTGCTGTCCGTCATGTTTAAAGAACCGTTGGTTCCTTCCAAGTGATTATTATCAAGTGAATCTAAATAATCATCATTATCTGCCATATCAACTTTTCGATTCTAACATTAATTCGTACGAAGCAATTTTGAAGTTCCTAGAAAAGAATTTAATGCTTAATATAGATTCAGAAAGGAAAATTATAGCTAATAGAAAGGACTCTCTACTTACCGGTAACCAAATCCTGTCCAATAAAATTGACCCACTTTTGAAATAAAACAATAACACGCCACAATTAACGTCACAAACAAAATCTAAACACAAAAACCACGTAATTAATCAAACATAGTATTGATAAGTACGGATTTGTTTTGTAGAAATAATTGGGAAAATAACGCCAAACAAGTCAGTTGACAACTGAACACAGATTACTAAATAAATTATTATAATCTATGTTCGGTAGTGATGTAAACCGGTACCATTAAAACAATAATAAACTATTTCTCTGAAAACTACATATAAAATTAGATGAAAACCACTTAAGGGCCACATATAGCCATCAAGATTTTGGGGCACTATATGACAGGAGGGTGCTGCTGGTGAATGTGGTAAAAAGTTTTTCATGGTGAGAACAATGCATCCATCCTGTATTTATCGGTCTACGATCCATACCACCCTAGAGTTGACAATGCTATGACAATCACTATGTTCTACGGCTTTTTTATTTTGTCTCATTAAAGCACTCGCCTTTACAACACGATCTTACCGCACCTCAACGAGGTCTTCATCGTGTCCGTGATGCTAGCGTACCCATGATCAATATACGGTTTTTCGTTATGCCATTAAATACTGCGTAAATAGTGCCAAATTAGTGTAAAAATAAAAAAAATAGTGCCTCTTTAATTTAAGAAATAAAGACCATTTTTACTGTGTACGCTACCATGACGTCAAGCTAGCGTACCCATGGTCGACCCCAAGAACGGCATATATTAAAGCAACGAAATTAACACACAAAAATAGTTCGCAAATAGTGCCCTGGCTTTACAAAATTTCATAATCAATACTCTTAAAGGACCAAAGATATTGAACTAAACATTCTTAGCTGGCGTCAACCTGGCGTACCCATAATAGTTCTTATAGAAAATGAACTTTTCTCGTTATCAATTCTATATGTATAAATAGTGTGTCAAATAGTGCCTCTAACAGTAAAAGTATTTTATGTGAATCCGCATCACAACAATACATAAAGAGGATGTTAAATTCTAGGAACAAATGTATTGTAGTACAGTTGCACACAAAATTAATTTATGCACTAAGAGATTATCTATATATGTATTTTTACTAAAATAAATAGGTACTTTTTATAAAAAGATATTTTATTTCAATTCGAATTCATCAATCATAAATTCATATAAGAATTTCAACCTACCTACTAAGTACCTTACTTACCTACTATACTGCGAAAATATTATCTCTTCTGTACATGACTGTACTTCATATATAAAAATAATTTAATTGCTTTTTTATATTGTTTTACTGCGAATTCACATAAAATACTTTTACTGTTAGAGGCACTATTTGACACACTATTTATACATATAGAATAGATAACGAGAAAAGTTCATTTTCTATGAGAACTATTATGGGTACGCCAGGTTGACGCCAGCTAAGAATGTTTAGTTCAATATCTTTGGTCCTTTAAGAGTATTGATTATGAAATTTTGTAAAGCCAGGGCACTATTTGCGAACTATTTTTGTGTGTCAATTTCGTTGCTTAAATATATGCCGTTCTTGGGGTCGACCATGGGTACGCTAGCTTGACGTCATGGTAGCGTACACAGTAAAAATGGTCTTTATTTCTTAAATTAAAGAGGCACTATTTTTTTTATTTTTACACTAATTCGGCACTATTTACGCAGTATTTAATGGCATAACGAAAGTCCGTATATTGATCGTGGGTACGCTAGCATCACGGACACGTCTTCATCGATCCCTTCACTTACTGAACAAAATTACAGGGCCTTATTCATTATCCATCTTGTTGGATCCAGCATGCGGGACAGCGATATACACGTAAAAGAGATCCTGTATCTCCATCTCTTTTACGTGTATAGCGCTGTTTCGCATGCTGAATCCAGCAAGATGGATAATGAATAAGGTCCTTTACAATTGTAGAGCTAGCAATGTAGGTACTTATAAAATGATTTTTTAATCTTTATTCAATAATTAAACTTCTGAAAAACTATTTCGAATCGTCTTTATTTACGGAAATCATACTATCACGCGTGTATGGACTAACTAATTTTAGGATTTTGAATTATTAATCTTAGTTGCAAATCGTACTTACCTCCGATTTATCTCATTTACCTATGGCATTTTCGTCGACTTAAGACGGAAATATATTTGTCTATCGTGTTTAGTCATGACGCGTCAGAGAGCTATCGGTTTTATACATCTAGTATGGTTACAGTAAGTACAGTTTTGACACATCGCGACACACAAATATTTTATTTATTTATTCAAAATACATTACACCATTATAACAGGTATGTACTTAATTCAATAGTGTAGTCGTCCTTTCAAACTAACAATTTTTTAAAAATTGTTAGTAAAACAATTCTTATAAAATTACATTAATTATTAACAATATTATTTCAATGTTGTAAACTATATAAAAATGTATAAAACTATATAAATATAAGTGTAACCGTAGTAAATGTACGATACCGATTCCTCTCTGACGCGTCATGTACACAACACGATAGACACATGTATTTCCGGTTTTACACGACATGTAACTTTTAACCTGAAATTTTCGTTGGCAACACTGTATCATTCTGTCACCGCTATCTGTGGTAATTTTGCGTAATTTTTGTTTAACAATACCCAAAGAGTAATATATGTTTATGGGAAGTTTGTGTTGTTAGATTACAGAGAAAATCATATTTCTACCTAGAATATTGGAAAAATGTCTGCTATAGGCCCAGACTTCTATCATTTTATTAAAAAACTAGAAGAAAATGATGATAAACTTGTATCCTGCACATCTATTTCTCCACTGGAGCAACCAGCTGATTTTGAGTTCAACGTATGTATAGAATTACCAAGGAACTTGTAATCGTAGTTCCTTGAGAATTACTCGTCATCAATGGAAAGCTTAAAGTGTTTTACTTATTAACATTGTTTTTTTGCAGAACAACACTTGTTATGTATGCAATGGCTATTATGGTCCCAGTTTTGGAGAACCTGTTTGTATAACATGCCATGCATTTTTATTTCCCGATTTTCCGTCGTATTTTCCTAGTTCCTATTTCTCTAGCGAGAAAACGGACGACGGCGACTCAGGGAATGATGAGCCTTCGGATTTGAATTACAGTGCTGACCGTAAAATGTACAGGGCATGTCAATTGCCAGCATGCTGGTATTACAGAGTGAGTAAATTAATGAAGGGACAGTTTTCCTATTATAATATAAAATTATTAGTGTTTTCGGCTAAACTGTACTTCTAGGGCCCAAGCAATGATACTTCACAATAGGTTAGGTTAGTGTTGTGACCATAACGCGCGATCAAAGCGAGCGTGCCGCGGCAGTGGCCGGCAAAGCGCCAGAAAAAGATTCTGTTAAAATACACCTTCTACAAAAAAAACAAGTATCACCTCTCGCCCTGGAAGTACAGTTTTACCGCGTTTTTAATTTAATTCTGAATATTTTTTTGTTGAAGAATTCTTTGGACAGTGAAACAAGCCCTGAAGATGAAGTGAGTCGAGCTAGTGGTTTAGGTGCGAGTGGCAGTGGCAGCAGTGGTTCAGGTTTATCTGGTGCAGGACAGGCTCCGCCACCACAGCCCCCCAGTCTTGCACTCTCTCTTCAAGCTCTCTCTACACCACGTCCCCCTGACAACTTAGCCCCTGGGCTAGTTGAACAGCTACCATCAGAAGGTAAGCTTGTGCTTTTTTATTTTATTTTTAATTAACAAAAAAAATATTTTGTTCTTTTGCACCTACCAGGTGAAAAATGGTTGGCTGTCTTGCAGCCTGAGAAACATAACATAGAATGACAAGGACAGACAGACTTATGTCAAGTATACAAATAGCAAACACAAATAGCCAACTGAAGTGCCAGCATAACATTTCTATAAAATATAGATATGGGGTTTCTGGCTTCTATTCGTTCCCACAGCTAAAGAAGTCTCAGACTCAATAGGCATCTAGGGTAAAAGATGCTACCTATTTAAAAAGACATTTGATTGAATTAAAAAAGAGCCTTTCTTCATATTCACTAAATCTGACTGTATAGTATATATACTAGTATTTAAGTTATTAAGACTAACACATTCTGTTTTGCTTTTGCTCTCAGCCCTGCTTGGCATTAAGCTGCACATTATTTTGTTGTGTCTTCCCAGTCGCCCCCAGGGGGATTGCCACCAGGGGTCAATGGGAATAAAAATAAATAAGTGGGGGATTGCCAATCGGGGCAACTTGGAATAAACATATTTTATTGCGGCTATAGACTTCCTACATATCTATTTACATATTGTATTTTACTGTTACCCTCTATCCTACTTGGCTTTTAGCTGCATGTTCCTTTGCTGTGGCCTTATTACCATCATATCTCCATAACGAGGGTACATTATATTAGAGAACAAATTGGCTGTAAACCTTGAGACTGCTAATACATTATTTTAAACTTTCATGATCACTAACATTATAGCTATTAACGGGATTGTTACCATGTACCTTGTTTTTTATGACTCTCAGATAATATATTTTTAAAACGATTCTATATATTATTTTATGTGTGTTTAATAAAGCAGCATTTTATAATTAGGACCTAAGGGAAATGGTCAGTGGTTTAACGGAAATTTTACTTCTATTTTGTCGGCAGTGCTGCTCTGCATCTTCAGTTATCTAGACGACATGTCTCTTTGTGCGTGCGCGTGTGTGTGCGCTCGTTGGTGGCGTTTGGTTCGCGCTCGCGTTCCTCCGCCGCGGTGGGCGACGTTCGCAGCTCGCAGATGGCCTCTTTTCCGACCGTTGTTCAGCAATATCGACTGGCACAAGGTAATTGACATAATATATACAGATACGACCCGAAACCCTTCAAAAAAGAGCGTACTCCTTCATTTAAGACCGGCATCGCATTTGTCATACTCCTGGTGCTACAGGTGTCTATTGGCGCCGGTGATCACTTATCATCAGGTGAGCCGTCGGATTATTTGCTCTATTATGCCCCCTGTATTACAATATATAGGTTTAATATAGGTTTCCCATACAGAATTTCATCCCACATTTCAAAATACACCTACAAAAGTCTCCAGGATGTCATCCAACTCCATACCCAAAATTTATTTCCATAGATAATAATTGTTTCTGTGAGTTAGCTTAATGCAAACTAATAAACTTTCACTTCGATTCTTCGACATCCTGGAGACAGTCGTAGGTGTATTTTGAAATGTGGGATGAAATTCCTACTAATATTATAAATGTGAAAGTTTGTATTTGATACCCAATGGTGCCAAAATTACTGAACAGATTTGGATAGAATTTTGTATGTATACTCGTATAGTTTATGACCTGGATTGAGACATACTTTTATCCCTAAAAAAATGTCGTCTGTGGGTCTCTCAAAAAAGGAAAGTTAACACGGACGAAAAAAAAGAAGACATATTCATTAATAAATTGGCATAAATAAGGTATTTCATTAGACCATGCCGCATCCGCCGTGATGTTGCGCTCTCACGGCTCAGATGTAAATTGAACTGCTTTACATAAATTGCTAGTAATGATTTTAATTAATACTTCATCTCCTACGGCACGGCTTAACATAATGTGTGATATGTCTCATATATCTTCAACATTGTTAATGATTGAGAATTATTGTTTCAGAAATACCAATTTCTAGTCGAGTCGTGTTTTTGCCGAAACTGCCTAGTGCAAATGTGTGTACTGGCTCAGCCCGCTGGCGAAGAAAACGCTTGGCGGCGCAATCGACTACGGAACGAATTGAAGGTAAATAGTTAACCTTACCACTGTCTTATTGTTGGTTATATTCTAAATATATAAAAATGAATATGTTTTCCACATGGTAATGCCATAACTTGAGAATTACATTACCGACTTCCATCGTCCATCTTTTTAAATTTACCGATTTTTTCTAAATAATTTGTAGATGACTTTTACGAAAATAGAAAGGTGTGCGGAAATTTAAAAAAATTGAGAATATTTAAGTTACTTCTCTGCCTGATAGGTGGTAATGCAGGCAACTGCTTTTTATTTTTATTTTTTTATTCAGACTCATTCTTGGAATATGCTAGCAAAAACCATATGAAACATCAACTTTGCTGCGTCTGAGTTCCCAAAGTTAAGTCGACATTTTTGTGTGTTTTTCTTCTTTTCTACACTAATTCCATTAAAATATGTTGAGGAAATTTTGTTACATAATTCATAATTGGGAGAATCGGCTTTCCTCAACAGGTGTGCAAACTTCCTAGATGAACAGGATAATAACCAGATTATAATCTGTGAGCAAGAACAACATAACACCTATTTAATTTGATTTCGCAGCTGATTAGTAGAATTGTTTTCTTGACACCTGTCAGATCTGGTAGTTATCCATAGCTTTTTTTAAAAAATAACTGTTCACTGACGCAGCGACACTACACAGTGGTAGTTCTTAAAAGAACGCTTTTTGATGTAGATCAGGCCTGGATTTAGAGGTGTGGGGATCCTGGGCAACGAAGGAGTGGAGGCCCCTGAATCTGGGACGATTTGCACTGGTTTGATGACCTGTCGAATTTTTTTATTTCTGTTGTGGGGGCTAGCTCTGGGCCAAAACTTCGCCTGCCCTGCGTTAAATTTGGCCAATTTCCCGTAGCATGAGCAATTAACATTATATCACGTTTTCTATCGCGCCTAACTGTCAAACTGCATATCAAGAAATCAGAAATCAATATATCTTTATTCAAATTGGATGTATTGATGTATAGTACAACTCTTTTGAATCCTCCAAATTTTTTTTCTCTACCACTCGTTATTGGACATATTTTTTAGCTGCGGAGAAAAACGAGCGAAAAAATCTCAATTAAAAGTATAATGTAGCAACATCACAAATCATTATGTTGGTACAACGTCAATACAATCATGAGTTATTTAATATAGAAAACCTGTTGGAATGATTTTCATAGTATTTGATAATTGAGCATGATAAAAACGAGCTATACCTATACATATATCATATCGCGTTGCTCATGTTGGAGGGGGGGGGTGTAAATACTTATATTTTTACCCAGTTTAAGTAATTTGTACGCAGATGCTTCGCAACGACCCTCCTGAGGGCATAGCGGCGACTCCATTAGATCCCAAATGTTGCCACTGGCAGGCGAGCGTCACCGGGCCGGATGGCTCGCCGTATGAAGGCGGAGTCTTCTATCTCTACATACAAGTACCTTACGCGTAAGTATCGTAAACTTCGATGGAGGAGCTCGATCACGCAAGTAATAATAATAATAAATATTTCCAACACACACACCAATTAGCCTAGCCCCTAGCCTAGCATTATAAGGTTTGTGTTATGGGATATTAGGGTAACGGATAGAATACATATACTGTAAATATATAAGTATATTTTTATAGAAATACATATTAAACATCCATGACTGGAGTACAAATACTCGTATTCATCACACAAACATCTGGCCCTACTGGGGTTTGAACCCATGCTCTCTCGAGTCGGCGACACCATGAAATCCGGCGTACAAACCACTCGGCCACGGAGGTCGTCTAAAAGTAGCTAGTAGTAGCGCGATCGTTGAAGTTAAGCAACTTTCGTAGTGGTCGGTCATCGGATGGGTGACCAAATTTTTAATATCCTCTCCTCCGTGCTTCGGGAGACACATTAAACTGTTGGTCCCGGCTGAATTTGCAGTCTTCAGCCCCCACAAACCGCACTGGGCCCTCGTGGTGGGTCACGGACCAATCTCCCTATTCCATCCATAGGGAATGCCTGTGCCCGAGCATAGACGTATCATCAAATGTAAAAGGATCACATATTATTAAGCTGCTGTTTGTGAATGGTTGTAAGTTGTCGACAGAAATAATATAAAATATTTGCAACACTTATACTTATTAGTCTAGCCTCAAGGTAAGCACTGTAAAGCTTGTATTATGGCCCATAACTTAGTATATATAAGATATTATGGAACTGATATAATATGAGGAGCTGGCGATCAAAACGGTATAATTACATAAAATTAAATTTTACAGGAGGTGTATAAAACTGAATGACATACCTACAGTCAGCTTTTGGCATGGTTTTTAATTTATAAATTTAGTAATTTAAACACAGTTTTAATCGGTTTTGATTGAAAATTATTTGAGATTCAAATTCAACGTCCCGAAAACTCCGGACTGTAAAAAAAAACGAGCATGCCTTACAGTAGTCGCGTATGATGTGTAACATTTGAAACCTCACCTTATATTAGTAAAAAAAGAAATAAAACCTACTACAAAAGGAATAAGCCATTTGAACATTATGTTCTAAAATCAAATCAAATGGCGCGCGCTTCCCAAACTTCCTGTTACACACTTCCGTCCCACGTCACGTAATCACTCTCACAAATTGCACGAAAGCGAGAGGAAAGATGCTATACATGAAAAAAATGTAGTTTGACCCGAGGCGTAATTATACACTTTTGTTCGCCAGCTCCACATATATGTACTGATATCCTATTTTAAAGGTATCCTATGAGCCCACCCGTGGTCCGTTTCCTGACTCGCATACTACACCCGAACGTGTCTCGGCACGGCGACGTGGGCATTGACTCAGTGCACCACAACTGGTCCCTGGCCCTCACCATCAGCAAGGTGCTCATATCCATACAGAGTCTGCTCACCGACCCATATACTGCGGTAAATACTGTTTCCTACTTATGTTTTCATTACCCTTAGTTCGAGTTTTACAATTACGAAAACTATGATAGTTTTTGTGAGCTCGCACTCGTACTAAGGGTACTAATAATTTTATTGTTTTCGTTTCAATATAAAACAGTGGTGTCGATTCTAGCATGATTCTCTAAACCTAAACTTAAATTTGACAACAGTGTAGCCTTGTCATTCTCTGTACAGAATGAAAAGGACAGAAAGATTATAAATTTAGTTTTAAGTTTAGGGAATCACGCCATAATCGACAGCAGTGTTTTAATTTTATCATTAAATCATTTGTGTCTTGTTTGGTTGCTTTTCACCAAAATGGACATAGAAACATAATTTACAATTACGTAAACTATGATAGTTTTCGTGAGCTCGCACTTGTACTAAGGTTACTTACCTGACAAACATAAGGGAGACCGAGGGCGAGGGGAGTTGAAACAATTTTCACATTTTGTTTCATACACCAAATACTATAAACAGAAATCGTATGATATTAGTACCATCGATAGGTCATTCTTTACACTTGCGAATAATGAATATAAAGAAATTGTAAGCGTTAAATATTGTGGTGAAAAATCAAGTTAACTGTAACAAGTCAACTTGTTTGAACTACCCTCATAGCGAGGTAAGATGAAACATGGGTCGAGGAGATTTGAAACATATGAATTTTGAAAAGAAATAAAGGCTGCAAATTAATGATGATGATATAATTTCAAGGTATTTTTTGGTGTAGAGGTGTACTTATAATGTATCTTTAGAAATAAACCCCCTTTTGGGGTCAAAAAGTATGTGCAAATAGCTAACTCCACGCGTACGAAGTCGCGGGAGGCCGCTAGTATATACATAAAAGCGACAATATGAACGGAAATATTCTTGTTTTGACCCGTAATAATCTGTCTTACAGGTGTGTATGGAACCGGAAATAGGCGAATTGTACGTCCGCGACCGAGCCCGATTCGAGTCCTTGGCGCGCCGATGGACGTGGCGATACGCTATGCACGACATTCTACCTTATTGCTAATTACATATGTGCTATTTTAGCTAATCAAGTTTGACCATGTGATCAGGAATCTTTGTTATTAGACCATGGAGTGCAAGCTTGGCTGGGAGCGAAAAAAAAATTATTAAATACGGTAACGACTGATTTTTACTGCGCAATATACAGGTTGTCTCAAAATTTGTCACATGGATGGAAAGTACCTTAAATACTGTAAATATGAAGTTTTGCTGAGAGAAGACTCCATTTTTATTTTAAAAACAGTACGAAATGCAGCAAGCTAAACTTAAAAAATCGCCTGTCTAAACCGGGAGTCGAACCCACTAAATATGAAAAATAAATAACCTATTGAAAGGCAAAATCATTAACATCTATTTCTTCTGATAACATTCGATCGGTACACTAAAAATAGACGCCCGGCGTAGACAGGCGATTTTTTCAAATTCTTTGAATGCTTTTAGTCGTATTGTTTTAAAAATAAAAGTGAAGTCTTTTTTCATCAAAACTGTTTCGCTACAGTATTAGTGGTACTTTCTCTCTACGTGGCAAAGTTTTGGGATACCTGTAGATATATAAGCCAATCAACGGACGTATTTGAAAACTTAGCCGTTAACTGGATTTAATCGGCGAGCGGAGCGATGGTGTTATTATTTATTTATTAATATTATGATTATACAGATATATTACAAGTTCTTAATTATGGTGTAACATACACTCATTCGAGATGTCACCATACACCAGAGACGGCGAAATTTAAATTACAATCTAGCAAAAAAAAACAATTAAATGAGAGTAGTTATTAAATAATATAGGTATCTACTGTTCAAATAACCGTGGATGCAAACAGCAAAAATATGTTAAAAATAGTGATGTGCAACGTTTTAGTTCTTGTTTAGATCGATGTTACAAAAACACATTACGAACATGGTGAATCAAAGTGTTCAACTTTGTTACTTTCTCATACTTAACTAAAAAACTAAACTAAAATTAATTTGGAAGGCAATGGTTATAGACGCGATTATTTTAAAAGTAGTCTTAATTAATACAACATACCATATAGGTACACATTACACAAAATCGCTCTTATTCATATCATATATAATCCTGTTTTAGCTAAAACACTGTTTTGTCTCGTTCTTTCTTAGCACTGTCGAGATTTGAGAGAATGTGACAAAACAGTGCAATAGTTAAAACAGGTTTTTTAAACTGTTTTAATTTTCATGAATAAGAGCGAATAAGTAATATCGATTACTTATTGATGCATGCGTTATCTTTAATTTTTGTAATAATACAATAGATTTAATATTTCTTTCTTCCAGTATACAGTTTATCACTAAATACGCTGTTATGATTTTATTCATATCTCTTCTGGCTGTCCGACATTTTTATGGAAAAAAAGTTAAAATAGCACATAACTATTATAGTTATTAGCAGGAGTGCTACCATGTACCTTGTTTTTTTGAGACCCCGATATTTCTGCACTTTTGCAAGCGCCATGATCACAGAGTAACAGACTCTGTTACTAATAACTATAATGTTAGTGGCAATTAAAGTTTAAAAGAATATCATCACTATTTATTTCATGTGTAGCTTATTTCCGCTGTCGCTATAGCCCCGCTTGCTAATATCATCCTTTCAAAAATAGGCATTTGACAGTATGTAAAATAAAGAACCTTTTGTTGGCATATGTATTTCATATGAATATTAGCCGCGATTTAATTACTCTGAGAGAAGAAATCATTCGTAACTTAAAATATAATAGTTTTTTGTTCAATGGTCACGTGACTGAAAACGTCTGGGATTGGCGAAGACTAAAATGATGTCACACGCTAGTAAACTTCCGCTCAAATTGACATTAAATTGTATCGTTTGACGTTTAATGACAGTCCTATGGCTTCACATGCCAGTGAGACGCCACAGAGGAACGTTTTCGTGGCAACTTAAAAATGAAAATTTTGGATTTTTTTTTACTGAAGTACGCAACAGAATGATTAATATCCAATATTTTTATGGACTCAATAAACATTGGTATAACGTGAGATCGTTTTCTAAAAATTGTCAAATACCCTATGGCTTTTGGACTACATCTTAGACCCAAGACCCAACCAGTGTCAAATGTGCCGTCGATGAGGCATGGATATTAATATTTCACATACTTAACACTCATAATAGGCGCCAAGTAGACAAAAAGCTGCTGAAACCCTAAAAAGAAGAACTTGAACCCACGGGTTATGACGGGAATGCACTCGTATGTATATACTATGACCATAAGGTACAGATTAGGAAAGATTAGAACTGTAAGTACAGTATTCTTAGAAATATGTAGCATTATATAGCCTACCACGCTCTGAACATAGATATGAAAGTAAAACGAAGATTTATGTATGTATATAGCATCATATTTATTACATCATAAAATTAGGTTTATCTGAAACATAGTTTAATGATGAACATAACATAGAAATTAATTTTAAAAAGTTCTTTTATTGGAGAATTCAGCCCTATGTAGGTTTCATCAACATCGTGAAAATTATGTATTTCCGTATTAGAAATATTATGGTGATTCTAATGTAAGTTATGTAAGTCATTTTTTGAAAATATATAAGCATAGCTTTCACACTTGTAATTTATTTTATTTATTTAAGTGTATTCTACTTTACCCAAGGAGATTTTGCTTCATATGCTGGATTGATTGGTATTTAGATAAAATCATATAATTTTCAACCAGCAGCGTTGACAATGATTAACAGTAACCTAAGCACGAACCAATATCGAATTCGAATAGTTTGCGAGTGCTAAATGTCAGTGTCAAATGTGTACTGATTTTTAGTTCTCGTTACGTCCGTTGTGGCGTTTCTAATCAAGTTTCCAAAAAAAATTACATTGATATTTCGCACTCGCAGAATATTCGAATTCGATATTGGTTCGTGCTAGGGGTACAGATGATAACTGTTATGTACTGGCAAATCTGTCACTAGTTATACAATAACTATTATGTCTCCATATAGGTACTTAATTATTCATATGTTAATAATCGGAAATTAACTCTGTCTATTACGGTTTTACGCCTTAATAGCTGAACCGATTTAAACGAATTCTAAAAGGGAGATAAAGCGATATGGACGCAACTTTTTCTTCTTCTTCTTTCTCTCAAGTACTTTACTATAAGTTTAAAGAGATGACGACAAAAGGAAATGATATTTTGTATAGAAAATCTATTGCAATAAGTAGAGAAACTCGCGAGAAACGAATAATTAACAATACTTAAAGGAAATATTTTAACATATTTATCACTTGAATATATAATAATAATACAGTAGTCTGTCTAGCCAGTCGTCAGTTTACTTTTGGTCTCTCTTATTTTTGTCCATATTTCAGTCAATTTCTGACAATCACACAGTAACGGAATACATTTTTCACTGCCTGGAGCTCTACAATACCCTGGGTAAGGTGATTCAGATAACTGCATCCATCTTCTAGTGTTAAATGACGAATACCTAATATTATTATAATTTGGTATTAAAACAATACTTCGAATTTTGAGGCTTCCGGGTACAAAATAATTAATATAAACAGCGAATGTCAGAAAGCCCTGTAAAATATAAGAAATCAATATGAAAATTATGTATACAGTGTATCGCGCATTTTAATAAAAAAAAAACAATATGAAAGATTTAATAAAAAGATTGCAATAATAAGCAGTAAATTATCAATTACAAAGTTCCTTTATTTAGGTAGGTATAATAAATATTGGGTACAATTCAAAATTCAACTTAATTAACTTACTCTTATGTCTACTGGTTCTATGTGGGCAGAATGTATCTCCATTTTATCGCATGAATGACGATACAGTAGGAGAACTTAATTTTATGAGTTTATCTTTCAGCCTCGATGATTATGAAGTTAACCGGAAAATAGTTTTTCGCTTGTATTACTATTTAATTTAGCCTTATGGTCAAATAAATGCACGTCTGCTTTAGATTTGTAAATAAAAATACATGCTACCCGGCGAAGTCCCTGTACATATTGTCGAGATTCTTTACGGGACTAACTTAATTGCTCTAGAGAACAAAGACAACACTGGGGGGTGTTATATTTTTTATTTTGTTAATTGTATTTATTTTATTAGGTAAGTTTTAAAATAAGGCCTACCTAATTTCAAATACTCATATCATGATAAATGATTCGAAGAAAGTGGAAAATAAAAGCAAGGCATTATTCATTGGTTCATAAATTTTAAGTTAATAAGAAAACATATTACAACCTATTATCAGAAACTTAAAAAGAGTTAATTCTGGAACCGCAGCCTTAGGCCTTTTAAAAACATAGTGACTTAAAAAAGCCTATGTACTTAAATTATAGGAATATTATTATTAGATTTAAATAGAATATTATATAAATTATACTAAAATATGTATTTCTGAGCCTTTAATCAAGTGTTTCCATGGGATCCTTGAACAACATTCTAAATCTAAGTTATTTTACTAAATATTTTGCTCAACTTTATAGTCAGATTTGAAGTCGCATATTACCAAGAAATAAAGAATACTATAAAAAAAACATATCCATAGGAACAAAATTTTTTATCAGGTAAGTACCTTAAATAATAAGTATAAAAACATACCAGATCTAAAAGATTACAACATCATCTCAGAGTTTTTGAATAAAAATATTTTTTTACAATTTTATAAAATATTGTTATATTCATATAAATAGTTAAAATATTAACTGAATGGAATTTATACAATGACAATAGTTAAAAGAGAACACCGGTTAAAATTAAAATGTATAAATTGATTTCTTGTAAGTATCATAGTTATTTTGTTTTTGACGTGACAACGTCTTAAATTAGGTTGCGGCTGGGAGTCACTTATGAAAAAGTGTAACGCTCGGTAACGTTACGATGAGTCTCTCGTGTTAAGTTTAAGTTTACATGTACAATGTTTTAGTAAACAAAATATATTTCTATAGTTAAAATTTGTGCAATTCTTATTTTCATTCAATTCCTTGTTCCTATTGTGCAATTTAATTATATTCATATCAATAAATATTCTACCGAGAAAAAGACGTTGTCACGTAAAATCTTCGCCCGTAAAACCGACTTTACAGGCAACCATTTTTTTCTTCATATTAACTTATGTAGCGGCCAAAATCGCATGCCATATGACAGCGATGGCGGACAACGCGCGCTATGTAGGTATATGAACGTGTATGAGCGTCGACGCGGCACCACGGACGTTCTGCATCATCCCCCTCTCAGGGGATGATCGCTTCAGATGAAGCTTGTACTACGGCCGTGTTTTAGTCAGTAGGAGTCTGACATAACCTTGCAACCGGCTGTAGGGTATCCATGAGGATTTCAAACCCGCTCCCCCGCCTTGGAGGAAACAAAAAAAAAACCATGGATAATGTCGATGCAATTCGCTCTGTAGTAGCTGTTGCTTGTAAATAACGCTGCTAGGAATCACTCTTAAATCTTATTTGTGCATCGCATATTAATTTAATGTTAGTTGTTTTTTATTCATGTTATATATGTTAGTAAAGTATGTTAAAGTTTTGTCTCGTTCTTTTAATTAAAAAAAATTACACGTAGTTTTTTTAATAAAATATTAATTAACGGGTTCGATTCCCATCCGTAAATTCTGCTTTTATACTTATATTTTTATTATAGATAGGTGTGGTTATTATTATTATTTACATCTAGATTTTCATATGCTAACACGGCGTTCGGCGCCTCCCCAGGAACTCTTCACGTGATCTACTGCAGCATCTTCCTGACTCGGACCGATTCTGTGACGTGCTTCCGGATCTACCACGTGATTTATTCCTGAATCTTCCACGGGACCCCCGCGTGTATTGCACCGAAATCTTCCACCTGATTTGCTCCTTAATCTTCCACGGAACCTTCCTCGTGATTTGCACTGTGATCTTTCACGTGATTTGCTCCGAGATCTTCCACGGGATCTCTCACGTGATTTGCATCGAGACCTTCCATGTGATTGGCTCCTAGATCTTAAACGGGACCTTCCGCGTGATTTGCTCCTAGATCTTCCACGGGACCTTCCGCGTGATTTGCTCCGAGATCTTTTATGGGATTTGGTCCTAGATCTTCCTCTGGTCTTTCGAAATAACCTATTTCTGCATCTAGTTTGGGATATTTCCTCAGACCTCTCGCGCCCGCTTACTCTATAATATTCTTCTGGTCGTACACAGAACTGGCCCCTTAATAATTTATCTCTGCAAAAAGAACAAAAACGGTTTTTCCCTGTGCACACTATAATTTGATCTCTATCCGCGAGTTCATCATATACCACTATAATATCTACATCTTGGCATCTTCTATAACAGTCTTCTTCGTCTGCACTACTTACTTCTATTAAAATATCTGTTTCCATCGTCGACGTCTTTGTAGCAGCGGTTATTCGCGTACAGGATTATTAGGATTCCCTATGGCTACGTAGGTAATTTCCAACTAAAAATGTACTTGCAAATGATGCCGATATCTTCGTATTCTGTTATATATTATGTCGCTATTGCATAAAGATTAAAATAATTGAGCAATAACTATTTCTCCTTGCATATTATTTACGTAATATTATGCAACATTATTGCATAACATTAGGTTAATAATATGCAAGATTAATAAGATTTTATTCCATCCACAAGGAAAGTGTGCTCCTGCTGGAGCTCAGGCTTTTTTTTCGATGAAAAACTCAGGTCCATTGCGTATTGGCGGGTGCAATGCTAACGGCTGCCGATGACCAACGAACGGCTTAACGTAGGTACGTTGCGAATTACGTAATAATTAGAAAGATCTAAAAGAGGTAGGGCATACCTCCACCTTACAGAAGACTACAGTAAAATAAAACTACCTTTCGGTGGTTGTGTTTCTGTCGGTGAGTAAGGGACCAAGGCTCCACGAGGTAGGGGATGGGGTTAGGGTAGGCAAGGCCGCGAGTGATATTTTTTTGTAGCGCAAGCGTCTATAGGCTATGGTGGCCGCTTACCATCAGGTGCGCTTAAGCTTGTTTGCCACCTTTTTAACATAAAAAAGATAATAAATTTTTAGATACCCAACCATTATGATCCGCCATCGTAAAAGTTGTTTAACTTTCACGATCACAGACTGACTGCACTAACTAGTAGCTCCTATCTATACTAATATTATTGAATTAAAATGTGTCTAGCGGTTTGTTACCTATTCACGCTTATATCACTGAACCGATTGAGATTTAATTTGTTGTAGATAGTCCCAGAAAAAGGATAAGTCCCAGAAAAGATAAGATAGTTTTCTATCCCAGAAATCATCCTTTATAGAGATGAAAAAGGAAACCAAAATTTTTCTACTAAGAAGAAGGCAAGGGCACCCTTTAATTTTTTATAAATAATTCTTAATTATTTGCAAAAACGATCGAAAATGACATTTACGAGTATTATGGTAGTAGTAGTGGAGTAGTATGGTATATTAGGGTTAATTTTAAAACACCAACAACCACTTAGGGGGTGATTCTACCCATCAACAGGAACAACTTTTATTATGGGACAAACACTGAAATCGCGAAAACATATGTGCTATGTTGTGTGTATATGTTTTATACAAAAGTGCATCAACTAATCGACCGAAATGTATGAAACAGCAGTTTTTTTTTTGCGATTTCAGAGTTGGTCCAATAATAGGTAAAAGTTGTTCCTGTTGATGGGTAGAATCATCCCCTAGGTTGTTGGTGTTTTAAAATTAACCGTGTATATTAATTACCATTACGTTACTTAAAACCGAAAATATATTTTTTGAAATAAATATTTTCT